TTGCATAAGTGTTCAGTCCATGAGTCAAGCCAATTTTTGTTTTGGCTGAAACAGTACCAACTCGTATTCGCCAGCCATGTTTTATAAATGTGGTCATCTTTATACATGTAAATCAAAAATATAGGTAAATATTGATTGAATTAGTTGTCAGATTGCATCAAACTTAGAATAATTCTGCACATAAATTTATATATGGAGTGTGTATAATATTTGAAATATCACAATTCCCCCTCTTCCCCCTCCCAATAGCTCTTCCCCTCCCAATAGCTATCAAATTAAAATACCATGCATGACTAGTACTCACTTTGGGTTGAGTTATACGACTCATGGACTAAATTGCACACTAATTTTTCACCTATTCAGAGCTACATGTATTTGCTTAGCTACTGGTTGGTTGGTTGGTGTCCTCAAACATAAATGTATAGTTGTCACCACTTGGTGGCGCTATAGCATGTCACCACATTCTTTTTTTGCGAATGAATTGTCTTGTGATGCTATTTGCCTATCCATGTCAGACAGCCAATTTTCTCTAAATTCAATTTTAATTATGAACCAAAGTGAGTGAATAAGATGTTGCTCATATTATTTTGAGGAGGTATTTTTAATTTCCACTACTATCAAAGGTGCAGGTACATTAGAACTGACATAGAATATTAGTAGATTCTATTGTCTTTGAGAGATTTGTTTTTGTCTTGACAATAGACTGCTAATAAATAGTAGAAAATAAATGCAACTATTGTAACACAATTTTACTATGCCTAGTCATACTTACCTGACAAAAATTTAATATTTAGAGTATGAAATAAACTCAGGGGCAAACTATATCCCCATGGGTTGCCAGTTTATAGGAACCTATGGGGTCCTAATTTCTAACTGGTCACACCCAGACTGAGCTCATTCGATACACTAACTAACTAACCAGGTAAGGTAAATATGACTTTGCTATATGTAAGATTTCAAATTATTACACTGAATTTGTGTAACTACTTATATTAAGTAAAAATATATCAAAGTTTTTGAATCATGATTAAACAATATATACACGGATATAAATTATATATAGGCATTGTATGCTACATTATATAATCATAATTATATATTTTGTAGTATAAACATAGATATTAATTCTCAGGTTTTTATTTGCAAAGTTACTTTATTATGTATAAAATTATATATTGCATTTATCGCTTGACAAATATACATTTTTGTATTTGTATTTAAACAAGACTGCCTGTCACATTTCGTAGCTATAGTATGTGTTAGTTTTTAATGTTTTTTTTTTACTTGTATGGCTAACTATTTGTTAGATATGCCTGACAATTTTATACATTGAATATGTTTAAAAGTAGAGTCATTTGTATCCAAAGTCTTAAGTTAAGATGATTTTTGCATTAATGGTCAAAAAAGTCAAGATATCTGTGTATACATGTACACTGCATAGTACTTTGTTCATGCAACCTGTGCTTTTCACATTTCAAGTTAGAATCACAAATTTAGGACATTCATGCCTGGATTTATTACTATTACTGTAAAATCTGTATTAGAAACTGTGGCTTCTATTATAAATGGTACTATTAAAATGGTACAATGCAGCCAAGGGAATCTGGCTTCTATTAGAGTCTCTACACATATGAGAAATGATGATTTTTGGGGTCTCGATTGTTCCAAAAAAATTGGGTGTGGCTTTTATTAGGAATGCTGCTTCTAATACAGATTTTACGGTACTTCTTCCATTCCTTGTATTCAGGTCATTATTTATTGCTCCCCCCTCTTCACTCTCTTGTCACATATTTACTTGGCACATTTTAACTGCAGCAGTTGATATTTCAAAGTACTACAAGCAGTGCAAGTATAAGGTGGTGGTACAGCGTTAAATGAACATTAACAATGTGATTAATGGGTGCCACAAATGTTTTTGATCTTTTTACCACCAAACATTTTCACCCAATTTTGTCGACACTTTTTCCCCTATATTCTCCAATATTCCTGGAAATAAACCCTCATTCTTGAGCCAACAGACAAAATTTGTGTCACTTTTCAGTTTTTACTCAAGAAAACTGGGTTATTTTTCTCCAAATCTTCTGAAGGAATGTGCAGACTATAAACTGAACTATTTTGTGAATTTGTGATGAATATAGGGAACTGGTGGTGAACAGGATAAATGCATGAATCTTAATGACAGGTTTGTGAATGCCATACTACATGTATAGCCCCCTGAATCGTGTTATGTGCGTCTTAGTTCAAAGTTATATATACACTTAGTGCAAATGGCCGTTGATCTCTCATCGAGAATGAGAGTCCATTCACTTCTGTCATTGCTTCTATTCTTACCCTGAATTAAGTATCCTTGGCAATTAACACAGTGGACACTGATTTATCACTATTTAAAAGTTTTCTGTTTGTTTCGAGAAGTTAGCAGCCATTTTGCACTAAGAGCTATTACAACTCTTGAATAGTATATGCAAATACATTAATTATAAGTCAACATATAATGACAAAATAGCGTCTTCCCTCTATTTTGGAAATACTTTAGCAAGTGTGAACATTCCACTTCTGTAATTATAATTTTTTTTTGAAGTTTTTAATGTAATTCAACAATTGTACATAAATTGAATCTCCATATTCTATGCATCAATGAATACATAGGTTGTAATATTGCAATAACTAATTACCCTACAGTGATAATATCTGTATTTGATGTCTGTATTATTATAAAATCCCATGTTTTTAAAGTATTATTATCGGATAGGTTTTGTCTTTGTCATATGAATCAGATGTATGTGCCATATACAAACGGATGCAGTATTTACAGGATAACCAGGTCAGAAATTGATTTCTGTAGATTTGGTTGATATTGTGTTTTCAAGGTCTTAAGATGTAATCATCTTCAATCTCATGAGTGACTTTCCAACATTACAATTTAAACACAATCTTTTTTATCAATTTTTTTTTTTGTGAAGTACAATGTATAAATTACCTCATTGGCCTGAATAATGGATAATGGAATAAAACATCAGGTACCACACAAGCGGGTGTTAAATTCAAACAGTTTGGGGTTTAGTATTCTAGTTCATCATCTTGATGGTTTTTCATCCTGAACAACTGGTTTTGCAACGTCTGCCTGCACAGTGTTGTTTCGTTCGAACATTCCTCCCTCTACAACCCTGTGCAAGGGCGGTAGACAAAAATGTTAGATCAGTTACACAGTGGAAATTTTATTGCATACATGTATAAGAAAGACTATGATTTAAGGGGGAAGTCGAGCCAAACAACACAATGAACCCCCAAGAAAAAGCTTCACAAATGTAGGAGAATGCAATTTAAATTTTTTTTATATCGCTATTCATTCTCTAGATATTCAACTTTTCATCAGTATTATGTAGTCAGCCATCTTGATT